GCAAATTTCTAAGTTAACTTCGTTGCATGTTGAATTTTAAGAGGTGCTCCTGATGGAAGAAAATCTCACGAGAAAGCCAATAGAACCACTTTTAAAACCTCGACATCCTGTATAAACGTAGTTATAAGCTTTCGGGGTTTCCAAATTCTGTCCGACCTCTCCCATTGACTCGATGCACCGTGCAACATCTCAATTGAGAAAAATCTATCGTTAACAACATTACGATATTCATCGATCAAAGCATCGAGCATGGCAAGGGAGATGCAAGAAGTATATTTGGATTGCCTTTTGCAAAAAGGAACCAGGAGCATTGCAATGTTGCTGAGATTGTGCAACTTCTTTTGTCTTGGAAGAAAAACCTGATTGTCCATTAAAAATTTCTATTTTACTTGCTAAAAACTGTACATTTAAGACAAAATTTACCATGTAAATTTCATATTTTTTCATGATTTCAGTACTTTTCTCGCGAAGGACGAAGTTGCACAGTTATAGCATCGTTGCAATGCTTCTGGTTCCTTTTTGCAAAATGCAGTCCATTTAAGCCGTGGATTTGAAAGGGAATTGCTTCAATTCTCATGAGAATATCATCACTACAAGCTCTCTGCCCGTCTAAAGTCCCATTTTTTGTCACAGTTCGTTATAGCTCTTTACTCGGCGGATTTCCATGACTTTAACAGTTTTTGATAGGAGATGGACCTTAGATGTGCTCTATTCAGGTTTTGGAAGTATGATCGAGGTTTATTTTATTACGTGTTAAAGTTGTGAATTCTCTGATTTGATCGATGTAAATGTTCATTTTTTGTCACAGTTTGTTCGGAAGATCTACCGGGCTGATTTTAACGATTTTTCCGGCCATAGATGAGCCCTCTCCCTCTCTATTCAAGCCCCGGGCGGTGGGGCTGCCTCGCGGCCAGGGGTGTACTCCCTAGTAAACTTCTATTTTGAAGTATCGTTGAGAGAAAGTTGAATGGCAGAAACGGAATGTAGAAGGTTCCGGAGCCTCTGGAAAAAAACATCGAATGAAATACGAGACTTTCATCAAACTCGGAGGATCCCTCTCGCGTGAACGTGACGCCACAGTGCTCTCTAAGATGTTTCTCATCGGTGAGATTGAGACGCTCTCTTGCCTCGTTTGCTTGCATTGCCGTGTTTTCAAACAGTTCATTTACTTTAGCACAGCAATCGATCACAGAAAATAAATATTCGCGAGGACTCAGTTTATTTTTAAAGCACAGAGCTGGAGGTGGTCGCTCCGGAAGCCTGAAGCGCGGTTGTCAAATTGAAGCAATTGAGTGCCCGGTAAACGGGGAATGTCATGCTTTTGTGGTGCATTTTGGCAGACGTGGCAGAGGGGTCAATTTTTTTTTGTTCCACCCTTCTCAGAAGGCGAGTGCTGTTCCACGATGATTGATGCACTTCTGAACGCAACCTGGACACGAGGTTGCAAGCTCTCCATCGGAGAGGAAGAAGCCACTAAAACTCCGGTACACTTTTCCCATATATATTACCCTCTGAATGAGAAAAAGTGTCCTTAAGGTTCAAGTAAGAGGACGAGAAGGGCAGAAAATGTTAGATAATCTCACGAGAAAACCAAAATAGTTTTCTATTGTCCGACTTTTTAATACCTTCACTTAAAAAAAAGTCTCTTAGATCTGGAGCCCTGACCCTTAAAAAATTTGACGAAGAAAATAATTTCGATTCAATTAGATTTTTGATTGATTCGAAAGTCAAGACTCTCAATTTAGGCGGATTTCCTTTTGATCGAAGCAAAAGTTCGATTGAATCGAGAGTAATTTTCCTCGTAAAATTTGAAAGTCCAGTTTCTGAATCGAAGAGATATTTTTTCCAGTGTTTATTTTTTACAACCACCAAAATGAGGTTGCGAGAATTTTGATAAAAGAAACCGAGAATTTAAAAGCAAATCGGTTTTCGGCAAATAACAAACTATTAAACGTTCTGTTCTATTCCTGTCAGCAGATCGTTTTTCAAAATTTAAGTAATTTCTACGTCACAAGTCAAGGAAAAGCTGCCAAAGCCACGGAATCGTTTTGTTGTATCAGTATCTATAAACTTAGGTACAAATAAAATTAGCGAAACGACAAGATCATACGTTTAAGTGTTATAACCTCTGAAAGGGAAAGTTGTCTATGTCGTGCGGGCGTTCCAGTCGGTGGGTATTTGGCGGACGTCCATTATTGGGGGATTAGCCTGCACGATGAAAAAACCTTGGGTAATTTGAAGCATTGACAACAGGGCAGGACGTAATGAAAAATAGACCATCGCCGAAATATATAAATTACTAGCCGTAACAAGCTCGCTATGCGAGCTGTCACGTTTACCGAGGGATGGGGGTTTGTCCCTGGACCCTGATGGTTCTTCCATCAGGGAAGAAAGAAGCGATGTGTTCTGCGAGTCGCAGTTAAAATAAGAAACTCATGTAAAGTTATAATTCAGAGGATAATTTAAAAGCCTTGTAAGGTGAGTGAAAAATACGCTACACTTACATCACAACTACAAATAATATAACCGAAACCAATGCAACATGACAATGGGAGTAATGGGACAAGGCGCGTGTTGATGACGGCGCAGAGATACAACTATTCGTGCTTAATGACTGTCCGTGATGTATCTACAAAATTGAAGGCGCGATGGGAGTAGTGGGACAAGGCGCGTGTTGATGACGGCGCAAAGATACAACTATTGGTGCTTAATGACTGTCCGTGATGTATCTACAAAATTGAAGGCGCGATGGGAGTAATGGGACAAGGCGCGTGTTGATGACGGCGCAGAGAAACAACTATTCGTGCTTAATGACTGTCCGTGAAGTATCTACAAAATTGAAGGCGCGAATCGTGAACTTGCAATGATCCGTTCTATTGTTGCCAAAGAGGTGTCGTTGAGACTCGGGAGAAGAGTTAAAAAACGAAGCCCGATTTCATATTTCCTATCTTCGGCTGTGTTCATTCGAACATTCGATGTTTTTCTTTTTTATTAAATTCGACGCCGAGCCTTTCTTGAGGATGTATTTGTAGAAGTGCATCCTATAGAGTTCGTATGTACCGGCCCCATACAACCCGGGGGGCACGTGTGGGCAACCTCGGGTGATTTTGACCCGGCTTGAGCACCTAAGGGTCAAAATTTCGATCATCTAAGATAATTTCAAATACCTCGAAAGGATAACCAGATGAGCCAAACTTCAATTTTAAATTTGTTTATTATTATTTAATCAGCACATCTTTGAGTATTAAAATGTAGTACTCATTCAAATTCATATTTATGATAGAAAAATATACTATTTTGACCTGAGGAATAGCCCCCTGAAATCCCATCGGTTAAACCTGGGACACCCTTTATGGGCAGCCCGGTCTCATTGCCTGAATTGGTAGCGACGGTGCCAGCTCTCATGGAAAATGATATGAAATGCGTGATGCCCACGCCGCGCTCGTCGTGCATAGTATAGAAATGCGCGTGTATCAATACAAAATTGCACTGATTTTTCCTCCGATCCCAGACGAAAATTAGAAAAATTGTGGGCGAAAAATGCTCAATCACATTCCCGATAAAAATCGAATTTTCCGAGTCCATTTCACAACCTTGGAGTGGAGTTACGTTCCTTCATCCAGGAGGCTACGAGTATGATAAAATGGACAGAGTTTAACAGAAAGGAACCAAGCCACATCAGCTATTGCCAAATTTAAGGAGGTAATTTAATTTCTTACAAAAGAAGGTTTGTACGGATTCCATTGAAAATTTCAGGGAATTTGCTTCGCACTATGCAGAAAATTCACTGAAATGTGCACCAAAATCCGCGCAAGAGTTTCATGGAAAAAATTAAATTTCCCACTTGAAGGCGATAGCTGATGTGGCTTGGTTCCTCTCTGCTTAACGCGGTCCAAATGGACGTATTTCTATCAAACGGAACTAAGCGCCATAGGGGGAAGAAGGTAGAGAGGGGCTTGGATTGGCGGCAGAAACGGGCGTCGGGCTCGTTCCGTCCTATACCCGCAATGCTTTTCCATGGCGCTTAGTTCCGTTTGACAAAACGCGCTATCCGGCATTCTAAATTTCTCAAAAGGAACTCAAATTGGCGCTTAGTTCCGTTTGACAGAAATACGTCCAAATATAAATTGAAAATATCGTCTCCTGCCATCGGAGGTTTCCAGAGGAACTTATTTCGGAGCCAGACGGAGAGTCGTGACGAAGCTATCTCGAGTCTGTTGGTTCGGCAACCGGGCAATCGATCCGAATGACCTTATTTCCCGTGAAAATTCATCACCCGCAAGTCTCGCAATACTAATTAAGCGCCGCCGCCGCGCATTGAGTCCCGATCCCCTACCGATGCCCCGGCGAAAACGCTTCAGCCAATACCAATGCCCTAGCCCCCCCCCCCCACCAGCTGCATCCCCGACTAGCACCGGCATTTAAATTTAAATTGAACATCAGGACACCAGAGAATTTTCCGCGCGGCCAGCAGCCTGATCATCAAGTTCAATAAGTGCGCATGATAAGCTTTGCTTATTTATCATACATATTAATTATACCAGGGGGCTATGACTCCTGACCCCTCCGCGCTCCTACCTACCCCCCCCCTTCTTGTGCCCCTCGATTTTCGATCGGAAATGGCTCTATGTAGATGAACTCATGAGGGGCCCACCCCACCAAGCGGCCAGGGGGCGTAACCCCCTATACTTTATAATAATGGGTCTGTTGTAAACTTTTGCTAGAGCAAAACTAAGAGTTGTTTGTATCAATAAATGTCTCAAAAATTACGATGTGCGCATTAACAAAGTTTGAAATGCACTCCTAACTCCACAATCTCCATAAGAAATTTGCGGGTTTTTTTTAGCGTCCAGCTTCAAAATTGATACTACGACAGAGCAACGGGCGCATTTTGAATGAGCCCGCTGTGTTGATGTGAAAAATAATGTGATAATTCACCATGCTGCTCTTATTTATTGAAGCTTTACCGCAGTGTTAATTAGGATATTTTGTGGTTTCAGAAAACGAGGTATAATGAAGACGATCTGCCTCCACCCCCGTCTCCTCCACAATTGAAAGAAGTGACGTCACTGGATGGAGTACCCAGAGCCGGCAATGGAGAGACCAATCTCATAATTGACCCGAGCACACCGCAAATGATAATCAGGAATGATCATCATTCTGTTCTTCCCAGTCACAATCAGGTTAGTGCCCTTGTCTCATCTTCAGCGACTCCGGCAAATGTTGAATGCCTCTGAATCAAAGACAATCTTTGGAAAACGGTCAACCTCCAATTTATTGAACCACATCTTGCCATTCGGAACTAAAATTTCTGACTCATCGATCAAAAATATTTTGTGCATAGGGGAACTAATGGTATATACGTTGTTTTTTAACTACGATAAAAATTACAGTTCCTAATTGCAGAATGCAGGCCAAATACTATCGCATGCATCTTATCGGTTCAATGCAAACCGGCAAAGGTTCCCGTTCATGTTAGTTCTAATCCTGAGTAAAACATGAAACTAGTCCACTGCCGGATGGTCTCCCTAAAGAGTTGATTAAATGAGCAAGTAATTCGTTTGTCTTTTCGTCCGTCTTCCTTTTCATTCCTTTTTTGAGCTCTAGCTCGAGGTTCTTTTGTGAGGGAAGCATCGGCTTTCGTGTGCTCCCTTTTTTACTTTCAAGATAAATGAATTGAGCACTCCTTTTTATGACAGATAATTAGCAAGCTTGGCCCCGCTTTGCTTTATCTGCATTGCTTACATGATTCGAATTTTCCTTCTTGAGCTTCATCAAAATAATGTCTTCAAGTCTATTTTGAGTTTATGATCTCACTTTGATGTATGATAATCCCACCCCTGAACAATCGTTAAAACTAACGAGGTTTAATGGCAGGATTTCTATCCGCAGTTGAGCAAATATGTAAAGAGCAAATTTTTATGGAAATGGCCCGCTTTTAAAAAAGTCAAGGTTCGCAATGAACATACAAATGTGAATTCTGTAATGCCATCTTTCAATAGTTCTTTCTTGTGGACCAAGGAAGGAGCACAAATAACATTTCGTCACCTTCCAGGCAAAGTATCACAAGCGCCATGCGACGTTTAAAAATTTCCGCCGCCATTTTATTTTTTTACTGAGAAATTGTTGGTTGAGTCTGTTCGAAAATTTCACTAAATTTTATCGGCAGCACAAAGAAAATTCGGTGTAATTTTCGGACAGCTTCGTTGAACAATTTCTCTGTAAAAAAATATAATGGCGGCGGAAATTTTTAATCGTCGCATAGCGCTTGTGATACTTTGCCTGGAAGGTGACGATTTAAGCCTAGATGCATAAAATGTTTACAATGAACACTAAGCTCACTATCTTCACACATGTTACGTTACACTGAGATAAACCTGAGTAACCTCTAACTTTGGGCACTGCAATTTCAGTGCACCACATCAATTGTTGCATCATTAGTTTCTCGTAATAACAGTGGCGTTTTCCTTTATGGTTTGTTTTGACATCCCCTTGCCCCCTCCGTGGTTGTAAATTGAGCTGTAATTATTTCAGAGAGTCCCGGTATGTGTTTTTTTAGCGCGGTTTTAATCCCTTTTTTAAGTTGATCTATCTCTTTGTACTTAATAGTTTGTGTAAATAATATAGCCTTTCGGGTATTTTTATTTTTACTTTTGTGAAGTTTATACTCTGAAAAACACCATTTAAAGATCAAATGAAAGGCAGCCTTAATGAAGATTAAGTAGGACTAGTAAAACTACGCACACCCATTTACGTGTATCGGTGATTTTGGTGGATTAGAGTTTGTTATATTAAACCCAACGAGCGATTCGTATTTTATCCAAAAAGTTGAAGAAAAAAAGGATTCTACATCTAACAGTCGCCGAAGAGTATCAATGAAATAGAATGGGTTTTCTCACTTGGAAACACCCACCTTCACAGTAGTTAAAGTGATTGTGATAGAATGTAATGACACACTAAGAAGTAAGAGGAACGAGGAGGAGGAAAAAAGAGATAGGTTGTTGTTGTTGTATACATTCATTTATAGGTGCTTTAGTCTGAAACAGACAGACAGGAATAAATTCTCGTTAATGGCTGCAGCACAGGTGTAGGTTTCACGTAAGATAGGAAAATTTGAGCGATGAATTCGCCTTACAGATGCTCTCATTTAAAATACTAATGTTTGGCTCCAAGGGTCTTCTTTCCTTCTCGTTTGATAATATGATCAGGCTTTTCAATTTTTTTCACATTTTTCCGAACTAAGGATTTAGTGCAAGTTGCATTTGATATTTGCAAATTGTGACAGAAAGCACATTTCTGTTGATCATGTTCCTCCTTTTCTTATCCACTATTTCCCTTTTCACTCGCTCTCCTCTTTCCCTCCTCTTTCGTATTGTATAATCGAATGGGTGTCTAAACCTTAAGTTTTATTTCTGACTCTGAAGATGTAGGTTTGACTTTCCTATTGTTTTCATACTTGAAGGGTAGAAAGACACTTGACAGAAGTCGTAGAAGTCCATGCTCGCTACTGATTAGTGCCGGATGACATCATTCGATTCGACGCGAAAACGGAGAGTTTTAAATTTGCAGAAAAGTTGCTCATTTTGAACTGGTTATCCCTCGGTTCCTGAGTTACTTTATCGCGTTTTTATGTATGCATCGTGTTCTACGCGTCATTTACCTTCAGGAAAATGTATTATATGTAGTCAAAATTCGCTCATGGTTTAGTGACCCATGAGCTTGTGTCACACTATCAAAATACTCCATCAAAATGTCAAGGTCAAGTGCTGTGATTGGTCCAAGTCATCGAATAAGTCAATCACAGCTCCTGACTTTCATGTTTTGATGGCTAGCTTTGATAGTGTAACACAGGCTATTCAATTTAGAATTTTTGGATTTTAACGATGTTTGAAAATTTCTTGCGGTTTATTTCCATCCTACTCGTAGAAAATTAAAGAAATATGTTATATCTTGTGCCGAAGGACTCCACAATATCTATATCAGTGTTTGGTTGCTGCAGCAGCGATGAAGTCACGTCTCGTGGATATTTCACGTCTCTTCCAAGTTATTTGAGCGGCCACTTTCCGGAGGAATTTAATTTCTGTGGACGATAAAACGTCTGATTCTCGCGCCCGGCTTTTTATGATGTTCGTTCAATCGACACATGCTGTCGTGCTAACGGATAAAGCTGCATGATCATTTGGATGTTGCAAAATTTACTCCGATAAAATACGAATTTTCTGGAACAGTTCATAAGAAATTTCTCAAAGAGTTGGATGTAGAGTTTGCATCTAAAAAACCAAAGGAAACATGACTTTTCTTGAACATCAATGTGTTAAAGTATTTTTAGCAGTATCCAAATCTTAATGCAGGGTTAATGGGTCTTGTATGGCAACATTTGTAGGGCCACTGAATACGCCTCTGCCATAGGTCGTAATGCCATTCTAGATCACCTACAACCAGAACCGTCTTCAAAAAACACATATTCGTACCGACCCGTCTATACGCTTAAACGCCTCGTGTGCAATCGGGAGGTAAGGTGGGTAGCTTAGGTTAGGTCAGGCAAAAAAAAATAAGCTCTAATACCCACGTATTAGGAAAACGCTCAGCTGCTTTCTATGTAGGCGCGTTTTTATGTTCCTCAAGGAGGTGAGCCCCATTGAGATAAAAGAACGTACTCACCAAAATTTCAACTATCAATTTTGAGAAAACTATACCACGGCTGGAAAATATTATAGAAAAACCATCATCGTCCTCCATGCTTTGACATCAGAAACATCAAATAAAGGTATCACAGATTAATATATTCTAAATATGTGAGGCCCCTCTCCGCCACCTTGCTGTTGAGCTGGTGCACCATTCGGACGCATCGCCTAAAACTACCTAGTGCGACACATACACACACCAAAAAAAAAAAATAAAAAAACTAGTATACTAGAATTATACAGACAAGCTGAAAACAAAAAGCGCTCCTTATCGTCTGAGCGCTTAAAAATTCAGAGGCTATTGACGCACGATTCTAAATACCCCACAACTATTGTCATACTCGATCGTGTGTCACCAGCGGGTCGATTGTTGAATATATCGAATTATCCTGATCGATAAATCCCTATCCTAGCCATGCTTTTTATCGATCAATTAGGTCATTTGATATGGATTCAACAATCGAGTGTGAGTCGGCGTCGAAGCGGCAACATTATTGCAGAGCGGGAGCGATTGGATCGCCTTTCCGTCAGTCATGCTCTGTTTATCCGAGGTTTTAATCTCGCCGATCGGGAGCCCTGCCAAACCGCGGGAAATTCCCGAATTTTTCCGCCGCAGGCCGCGCGAATTATCGAATTTCGCCGTCCAGTCGCCCGCCGGTCGTTTAACGACCTCCGACCGCCGCGCCAGCGGCCAAGGCAGTAAAACTCACCGCCTTTTGTTTACGTGAGTTTATTTGATTTTTCCACAGTATAAGACCCATATCCCCGTATTTTCGGTCACTTTATGCTCCAATATCCACCCTCGAGTCGCCCATCAACTTTCAAGTGTCCGATTATTTCTTTCATTTTCCCAGTGCCAGATTGATTAAGTGATAGCGGTCTCCTCTATCAATTTATTGGAATCGCTCCTTACGTCGAGGCAGGGATATTGATTTTGGATTACTTGGATGGGAGTCAAGTATGAGGAAGCACAATTCATTCGTGGACAACACACGTTCCTGGTTCGCGGATCAATTTCATTTCTGCAACCCGGTTTTATCCGCCACAATCTGCAAATCGAGTCTGCGAACAGTTCCCTTAACGCCCTAGTTTAGCTTCGTAATAAATTCATCGAATGGGGTTTTTAACGAACTCCTAGAAGGGTGCACTTGTGTCCCGACATTCCCTCTCCTTGAGACCGCGCAATACTGCCAAATATTACGTAAAAATCAGCTTAATTTGAATTTTATCTTATTGGGGAATGCAATCGATTGGTACGTAGTGGTGAAAAGTTACCTTTGTTTGAGCAGTATGACTAAATGGACACGTTAAATTTTATATTTGTGATAAAAGAACCAAATTACTTTCACTCTCAATACGTAATTAAAAGATAAATGTTTGGCTGAGATTCGTATCAATTTGGACCTTTCAAATGCCTCACATTTTATTATTGAAGTTCAATACAGCTTTGAACTAGTACGATATGAACGTGTCGTTACGTTTCAAAAGAAACATGTGCA